AAAAGTCCTAATTGAAGCAAGGTTATTTTGAAAGCATACTTTAATGAGATAGTGTTCCTGACTCCCATGAATGTTCTAAATAGTTATGTTGGTAACATATGTTTTTCCTATACAAAAATAAATGGTGCTTTAACTTGCAAAATTTGTGTGATATCTTTCAAAATCTTCAAGACTTACATAACTGTTGCATTAGAATTTTCATTCTCATTGTAAACTTTTTCTAACTGCAAAACATTTGTTTGATATCAAGGAAGCTCACATAAGCACCAGTGATGAGTTTATTCTTTTAAGGCCTGAAACTATGTTGAGTAGTTGGCGGATCACGTCAAGAAAAAATCATATCCATGGGCATGTCACATGAAAACCTTAAGCACAGACATGTTGCTTCTCCCAGTTAATGCTTTTCCCAACTTGTTTACTCTTTTGGGGCAAAATTTGAAGACTTTGTTGTGCCAACTACGGTCAATCCAGGGCAATCACGTCGAGATTTGATGAATTCCTCTAAGAGTTTGAAGACACCAGAGCATGGTGAATGCCAGGTCTTTTGTAAAATCCTCTTGAGACGATTTCTCCTCATCAACCAGATAGCTTGGGGCATGTTAGAAGTGAAGCTATTCGCAAGAATTGTCATGCAACATGCAACTCATCAGCAGTAAACTTGGGGCATCCCAAATTTGTCCCATGGGCAATCTAGATTTGTCAAGATATGTGATATGTATTGCACACATTATCAGAGGGTGGTGTTCCCAGTATCTCCAGCTAAGCATGACTTTTTACAGCTAAATCATTGTTCGTGTTGTTATCCTTTCAATGGATTGTCGACAATAGAAGACTGGACTTTGGGTTTTCTACCTGAAAATATCTTCCTCTCCAGAGATATTTAAGCCTTGTAAAAGGACCTTGCTCCAATGATGGCCTGTGTTTTATCTCCAGTAATGTTCCCCTTTTGTTGAGATTAGCTGAGCGTTGGGTTGTACTGGGACGTCTTATCATCTTCTGTCTATCTCCCCTGTCTGTTTTGTCAACATATACATGACATTCATTCATTCGTTCATACTTGCATCATGCACGCACATTTGTATTTGTTGATATCTTTGAGTTCGTATACCTTGGTTATGTCTATTCAAATAGCATATTTGATCTTTCCAAATAGAGTGCCAACTTAAGCAGAAAGTGCGCCTCTTTTCTAATTCCCCACTGAGTTAACTCTCGTGGAATAATCTTGCTTTAGCTTTCCTTTTCCATCTCTGGATAGGATAAACCCCCATTGGAGTTGTTTCCTCATTGGGTGGAGTCTTGTTTGACTATTTTCTCTCCAGTTTATTCCTGGATTGAGCTTTGTCTCTTGTGAATGATACCCTGTGGATCTCTCTAGGCTGTGAAACCTAGATGGAGAGTGCATTTATTTTGCAACGTAAATACTTGGTCTCCTCAAGAAGGATTTATTCATGGTTCCCCATTGAAGATGAACTTTATTCCCCAGTAGTGTTATCACAACCTTCTTCTGGAATATCGACATGACAACAAGCGACTGACTCTTTATTTGAGCAGTTTGATTATTTTTGATTTCTCTACGACAAATGGCGGTCTCTTCGTGAGCAGTTTGTCCATCCTCGATGAAATTATTGATTCCCACCTCCAGCAATATCTTCATGATATTTTATGGGTATCTTTGAGAAAATAGCAAGCAGCGGTCTCTTCATGAGCAACTTGTATGTTATTGTCACATTTGAAAACATCAACCGGCAGTCTCTTCATGAGCAACTTGTAGGTTATTGTCACCTTTGAAAACATCAAGCGGCGGTCTCTTCATGAGCAACTTGTATGTTATTGTCACCTTTGAAAACATCAATCGGCGGTCTCTTCATGAGCAACTTGTATGTTATTGTCACCTTTGAAAACAGCAAGCGGCAGTCTCTTCATGAGCAACTTGTGTGTTATTAACACCTTTGAGAAAACAACAAGCGGCGGTCTCTTCATGAGCAACTTGTATGTTATTGTTACCTTTGAAAAAAACGGCAAGCGGCGGTCTCTTCATGAGAAACTTGTGTGTTATTGTTTTCTTGAAAAACAGCAAGCGGCGGTCTCTTCATGAGCAACTTGTGTGTTATTGTTTTCCTGAAAAAACAGCAAGCGGCGGTCTCTTCATGAGCAACTTGTAGGTTATTGACACCTTTGAAAGGAAGCAAATGGCGGCCTCTTTATTTGAGCAGCTTGTGTATCCCCAACAATATTGTCTACTCAGCAAATGGCACCCCTTCGGAAAAGTCCCGTGGGGAAGTTTGTTATTTTATCCTTTTCAAGCGATATCTTGGTTAAAGAAGAAATGTGTTACCGTTCTTGGTAAAATTCAGAAATCAGAGATGTTTATCTCTAGCCACAGTGCTGATGTCAATCATTTTGTTTTTCAGCCACAGTGCTGATGTCAATCATTTTGTTTTCCAGCCACAGTGCTGATGTCAATCATTTTGTTTTCCAGCCACAGTGCTGATGTCAATCATTTTGTTTTCCAGCCACAGTGCTGATGTCAATCATTTTGTTTTCCAGCCACAGTGCTGATGTCAATCATTTTGTTTTCCAACCACAGTGCTGATGTCAATCATTTTGTTTTCCAGCCACAGTGCTGATGTCAATCATTTTGTTTTCCAGCCACAGTGCTGATGTCAATCATTTTGTTTTCCAGCCACAGTGCTGATGTCAATCATTTGTTTTCCAGCCACAGTGCTGATGTCAATCATTTTGTTTTCCAGCCACAGTGCTGATGTCGTTCATTTTGTTTTCCAGTCACAGTACTGATGTCAATCATATGCTTTTCCAGGCACAGTACTGTTGTAAATCATTACCTTTTCCAGTCCCAATACTGATGTAAATCATTCAAGAGTCTCTCATTTGAAGTCTATGATTTTGTTTCCCAAGTGGAGTTACAACCTCTTCCTCTGTGGGATTATTGTATAATGCGCTTGGTTTCTCTAGCATAGTCTATCTCATATGGCGTCATTCCCCATAAAATTCAGAGCATTACATTCATATCATATCATGAACATAATCGCGGTATCTTAAGGCCAAAAATTGTGTATTCTATATTTAAGTCCCTTCAATCTCGTCAAAATGAAGATCCCAATCTTCATATCTCCAGATAGAAGAAACTTAAATAGGGGCAGCTGTTGTACCCCAATTTTTGACCTAAGATCCCATTTTTATTTTTGCATTTTTTTAAGATAAGTCAAGGTCACAAAATACGGTCGGTTTTAACGTCTCACTTTCGAGCTTTGACTATGCGAAGATTGTCAAGTGTTTTGAACATTTTTAGCATATGTATCACTAATTTCTAATCGCATACAAAGGTGTATGTTCATGTTTTCTTTTGCTTCATGTGCAGAGACAAGTCTGAATCAAGAGCATCAGGTGTCGCGCCTCAATTAAAGTTTTGAGTCTCCCAAGCCAAAAGTACGGTTGATTATGGATTCTTGAAGACTGATTCATCAAGGCACAACTGTTGCACCCTAAATTTCGCCCCTAATTTTTTTCAGTCGCACATTCATACCATATTTTGTCATTTGGTCACAATCATTAGTAAATATCTTCATTCATCACATTTTGCATCATTAGTCGCATTTAAGTTGACCAGAAAAAGTCAGTTTAAATCAAAGTTTGCATCGTCTTTCAGTTGTAAAAATACCCGACGTTTCACTTCATTCATTTTTATCTGTTTACTATTTTCTTGCACTGCTCCAAGTTGTTTATATGTCGATAATAAAATATTTCAGTTTTATAGACAGACTGTTAAAAGCGATTCGACACTATGCGGAAAGTAGCGAGAAAATATTTCAAGTTTTCACCTTTTACCGATCATTTTATGAATCTGCGCTTCGCGTAGATTATGACGGTATGCTCGCTTTATTTTTTCGGTACAGTTCGAAGTCTCGTTTTTAACCTTAAACGTCTGTTTAGTCTGATATTTTTATTATTATTTTATTTTTGATTTTTGACTTCTTGAATATTTTTCTTTAATCTTTGTGACATGTAGATTATTTTAATGTGTTCATTTTATTTTTTCGGATAAATTTTCGTCCGTTTTTTATCATTTTTGGTCATTTTTGGGTCTTTATATTTTATTCATAAAATATTCAAAAAATCATTTTAAATTGAGTTATTTTTTATACTTTCAAGTTTTTATTTTTATTTTTGTCATTAAAGGGCTTTTTAGTCACAACAAAATATTAATTATACTATGCTTGATTTTCATTGGTTGCTGGCAGAATTTACGGATCGATACAAAATCACCAAAACACAACTCACCTTCAATACACAGTAACCTATCCTCTCTTCTTATATACACAACAAAAAACAAACAAAAAGAGGGCATTAGCAGTAAACCACACTTGCTACCATCCCTCTCAACTTGCCATTTTTTTCTTCAAAACCATCAACCCAACAATCCACCCGTCACCTCTTTTATTTCAAAACCATTTCAAAAGGTCTATCAAACTTTTTTTTTGTTATTACTAACAATCTGCAGGTACCATAGAAGAAGCATAACAGAGCAAAAATAATAGTAATAATGATACTTCAAACTAAATTGTTGCTGTCAATAAAAAAAAAATAACAAAAGGGACAACCAACAACAATGTCATCCTCTTCACAAACGCAAACATAACAACTCTTCGCACGTCTCAATCGCAATGCCGGTCTATGCCAACCGACGGTCTGCCGCGGCTGTTGCGACCTCCTCTGCTCAGATCCTGACAACCTACTTCAATCAAAAACACATCCACCCAATCTCCAGCGCTTAGGCCATGCTTCAATTATCCCCTCATTTCCGTAACACAAACACCATAACCTCCAATTTCATCTTCACCGTAACTAGCCTCCTTCCTCTCAACCAACAATCCACGCTCACAGTAACCAAACATTCCCCAATTCCAGCAACAACCACCACCATTACCATCACAAACCCATCTCTCCCTCACAATCACCGTCTCAACACCAATGCTCCATAGATGCCGCCTTCAACGCCATCACCGCGAAACTCCAACGAAGGCTACTCAACCGGTGCATCCATCTTTCCGACCAATGCTCACTCCAACGTGAATCAAGCTACATCGGTTCATCGCTGCTATACACCTAATTTCATTCAGATCCCAACACAACAATTTCAAAACATGTAGAAAAGAAAAGAACGATTTTCAATAACAACCAATATTTTGTTATGCTTCTTCTTTCTCATTGCAGGGTAACAATCAATAAATAGAAGCTATGAAATTCTTGAACAAAGGAAGAAGGAGATATCACTATTGTCAGAACCCAACTGTGGCTATCAAACCGGATCTGCCACTGCACACCGCACCACCGCCAATCCCGGATCCGCTGCGCTACCCTATGTTAGAGTCGATCAACACTTTCATCAGGTTTGTTTTTGCTTTATTTATGGTTGTGGGTTTTCTTTGTCTCCATGGTTCTGTCTTGTAGCTTGCGATTTCATTAGGAATTTCTCTGTATGGTGAAAGGGAAGAGTTCGTTTTGGGTTTAAGAAGAAGAATAGTGTGGTTGAAAGAGAAAGAGGATATTTGTATTTGTGAAGGAAGAGAGAACATGAAGAGATATGCAATCTCTTTTTTTTTGTTTCAATATATTTTCTCTTTTATTTACATTACTTGTTTTTTTTAATTAATTGCCACTTGTCATAAGCTGATTGGCTGGAAGTTTGTTTGAAAAGTCAAAACAACCGAGCTCTATTTTTCTTCTCATTCTATAAGGTGGCGCATGTTTTAAGATAAAAAAAAATATAAAAAAATATTAGTAAATCTTATATTTAGATTTAGTTTAGTATTAATTTAGATTTTTTTAATTAGTTTAATTTTATTTTAGTAACTTTAGAATATTATTTCATTTGGATTTGATTTAGTAAATTTTAGAATTTTATTTGTTTTGATTTTATTTAGTAAACTTTAGAATTTTATTTTGTTTATTTTTATTTTAGTAACTTTAGGATTTTATTTCATTTAGATTTGACTTAGTAAATTTCAGAGTTTTATTTGTTTTAGTTTTGACTTAGTAAACTTTAGAATTTTATTTCGTTTTATTTTTATTTTAGTAACTTTAGGATTTTATTTCATTTAGATTTGACTTAGTAAACTTTAGAATTTTATTTTGTTTTAGTTTTATTTTAGTAACTTTAGGATTTTATTTCATTTAGATTTAGAATTTTATTTGTTTTAGTTTTAATTTAGTAAACTTTAGAATGTTATTTGATTTAAGTTAACTTTAGAATTTTAGTTGTTAGTTTTAGTTTAGGGACTTTAGAACTTTATTTGATTTAGAATTAGTTTAATGAGTTTATAATTTTTATTTGATTTAGAATTAGTTTAATAAGTTTAGAATTTTAGTTGTTTAGAATTAGTTTAATATTCTTCTAGAATTTTTTTTTTTGATTTAGATTTAGTTTAGTAACTTTGGAATTTTTATTTGTTTTAGATTAAATTTAGTAAGCTTAGAATTTAATTTAGCTTAGATTTAATTTGCTAATATCAAAATTTTAATTTTAGTTTAGATCTAGTGTAGTAATTTTAGAATTATTTTTATAACTTTAGAATTTGTAATTAGTTTAGAATTATTTTAGTAAGTAATCTTAAAATTTTTACTTAGATAATTAGTTCTATTTTCTTCTATATAAATATCTTTGTCATTTTAATTTCTCGATGCCTTTGGTCATTAGTCTGTTTCATTAGATTTGTTTTCTTGTGAATTTTCGAATGTTTATACTTTACTGATTCACCTTATTTTACTTGCTCAATTTATTCCAAGGGAAATGTTCCAACTCAGCTGACTTCATGTCATCAAATACGTCTTCTACAATCGTGCGAATACCCTCATTCATTTTTTTGCTTGTTTACTATTTTTCCAAACTTAAGATAATTTTCCTAAAAGACTCCATTTTCAAACTCATACCTTTTAAGCCAAAACTTCGACACTAGGTCATCGTATCTTCAAAAATCTCGTCCATACCCATCTTTTAGCCAAACGAATCATTTTAATCAAACAAACAATTTTAAACCAAAAACAGATATTTCAAAAGGTTCCTGCGGAGTACCGCAGATGCATTGGGTGCTAATACCTTCCCATTGTATAACCAACCCCCGAACTCTCAATCTCTTTTAAAAAAATGCATTGTATTTTCATTACTTTTAAATATTACTTTACATTGCATATTTTAGGGTTTTATTTCGCTCTTTTCCCTTTTCCCTTGGAAATAATAAAGCGCGGTGGCGACTCTTGCTTTTGCGAGTCAAGTCAATTAATAGCTTGATCTCCGATTTTAACCGCTACACTGGGGCTGTGACTTCCACGTTGCATCAGAAGCTCAAGTACCCGGTCAGGGGGAAGATTGTAACAGTGCAAGGGGAAGAGGAATACATGGTCAGCCACCTCAACTCCTTCAGGTACGTGGAAATGGATGGGGAGTTCATTGAGACCCCCTTTCAACATTTTGAAGAGGTGCCACAAACATTGGCAGCAGCAGAAGTAGTGACTGAAGAGGGTTCTCCTTTGAAGATGGCTTCCCTGAAGGATGCCCGGGCTGTGGTTGAAAAAGGTGAATGTGCAAACTGGGGCAGGCTCCCTGATTTTACTCCTAAGACTAACAAGTTTGGGCTGAGTTTCACTGCAGAGGCTCAGAAGGCTGTGCGCAAGGAAAAGATTGGAAGACCTCCTGTGCTCATCACCAATCCAGGAGTGAATGCTATTGGGGATGAAGACGAAGTGGAAGAATCCGAGTTTGACAGCTGGATCTACCCAACGACTAACGGTGGACCTAGCAACTGGACCGCAAAAGACTTTACACCCATTACTTTTGTCACCCAGTAATGAACTTCTTTGTTTTGGATTTGTATTAAACAATAATTTGAAACTCTATGGCCTGGTGTCTTACCCGGGGCACCGTGGCTTTATTTGTGAGGGCTTTTGTTTGTCACTTTTCATATATCATGAATAAAAGCATTGGACGTTTTTCACATTTCAAATATTGCGCTCCCTTTCTTTCTTTCTTTATATATTGCAAAACAGTTGTATTTACACACACTCACTCGTACAGGTTTCAATCCACTCTGGATCTCACTGGTAACGACTCTGCTATTGCCAGTTATGACTTCGAAAGTCCGATTAACTTAGCCGAAGACGAAGGTGAAGATGATTGCGAAGTGCCTGGCGAACTTGCAAGACTGTTACTCCAGGAAGAGAGGGCCATTCAACCACATGAAGAGCCAGTGGAAACGGTAAATCTGAGTACTGAGACAGACAGAAAGGAAGTTAAGATTGGTGCCAATCTGGAGCTCAGCGTGAAGCAACATTTGACTCAGATGCTACATGATTATGTGGAGATCTTTGCCTGGTCCTACGAAGACATGCCTGGGTTGGATACCGACATTGTGGTCCATCACTTGCCTACCAAGGAAGACTGCCCTCCGGTTAAGCAAAAGGTCCGCCGTATGCGTCCAGAGATGTCTGAGAAGATCAAAGCTGAGGTTATGAAACAGTTTGATGCCGGGTTTCTTGCAGTGACTTCTTACCCTCAGTGGGTTGCCAATGTGGTGCCGGTACCGAAGAAAGATGGTAAGGTCAGAATGTGTGTTGACTACAGGGATCTGAACAGGGCCAGCCCCAAGGATGACTTCCCCTACCTCACATTGACGTTCTGGTTGACAATACTGCTCAACACAAGGTGTTCTCCTTCATGGATGGTTTTTCAGGGTACAATCAGATCAAGATGGCTCCGGAAGATATGGAAAAGACTACCTTTGTCACTCAGTGGGGTACCTTCTGCTATAAGGTCATGCCATTCGGGTTGAAAAATGCTGGAGCAACCTACCAACGTGCCATGGTTGCTTTATTTCATGATATGATCCACCATGAGATAGAAGTGTATGTCGACGATATGATTGCAAGGTCCCAAACTGAGGAGGAACACCTTGACCATCTGCAAAAACTGTTTGACCGTCTGAAGTTGTACAAGCCGAGGTTGAACCCGAACAAGTGCACCTTCGGGGTAAGATTTGGAAAGTTGCTAGGCTTCGTTGTAAGTGATAAGGGTATTCAAGTGGACCCTGCCAAGGTTAAGGCCATTCAAGAGATGCCAACTCCCAAGACAGAGAAAGAAGTCAGAGGCTTTCTAGGACGTCTGAATTATATTGCCCGATTCATCTCGCATCTAACTGCCACCTGTGAACCAATCTTCAAGCTGCTGAAGAAAGATCAGGTAGTACGTTGGTACGATGAATGTCAGGCCGCTTTTGACAGAATCAAAGAGTATCTCCAAGAACCACCCATTCTTATGCCGTCGGTTGAAGGGAGACCTTTGATATTATACCTGACAGTACTTGACAACTCAATGGGGTGTGTGCTGGGGCAGCATGACGAGTCTGGCCGAAAAGAGCATGCCATTTATTACCTTAGCAAAAAGTTTACCGACTGTGAGACCCAATACTCACTGCTCGAGAAAACTTGCTGCGTTTTGGTATGGGCTGCTCGCCGGCTGAGACAGTATATGCTGACTCACACTACCTTATTGATCTCAAAGATGGATCTGATAAAGTACATATTTGAAAAGCCTGCTCTGTCTGGGAGAATAGCAAGATGGCAAATGATCTTGACAGAATACGACATCCAGTACACAACTTAGAAAGCTATCAAAGGAAGTGTATTGGCAGATCACTTGGCACACCAGGCAGTAGACGACTATCAGTCAATGAACTTCGAGTTTCCGGACGAGAGCATCATGATAGTGACTGATTGTGAAGTACCTGGACCGGATGAAGGACCTGAGGAAGGATCCCGATGGTCTATGCACTTTGACGGAGCCTCCAACGCTTTGGGTAACGGTATCGGTGCTGTGATCATATCCCCTCAAGGCACTCATACTCCACTCACCGCCCGACTATGTTTCAACTGCACCAACAACATGGCAGAGTATGAGGCATGCATCATGGATCTTCAAGCTGCGATTGACTTAAGGATCAAGTTTCTGAGTGTCTTCGGAGATTCCGCTCTCGTGATCAATCAGATCAAAGGCGAGTGGGACACGAAACATCCAAATCTTATTCCTTACAAAGAGTGTGTGTTGACATTGATCCCCTATTTCACAGAGATAACTTTTGAACATTTCCCAAGAGAGGAGAATCAGTTGGCGGACGCGTTAGCTACGATGTCTTCTATGTTCAAAGTCAAGTGGGACAATGAGGCTCCCCGGGTCATTATCTGGAAACTGGACGAACCGGCATACTGTTGTGATCTTGAGGCTGAGGTAGTGACTGAGAAACCTTGGTACCATGAGGTGAAGAGATACTTGGAAGCTCAGGAATACCCTGAAGGTGCGTCTGTCAACGATAAAAAGTTTCTGAGAAGGTTCGCAGCGAAGTTCTTCCTCAGCAACGGCATCCTGTATAAGCGAAACCATGATTTGACCTTACTGCGTTGTGTGGATAAGACTGAAGCAGAAAGGATCATGGCAGAGCTGCATGAAGGTACCTTCGGAACACATTCCAGTGGACATACGATGGCAAAGAAGATCCTTCGGGTAGGATATTTC